CGCCGGTGCGCTCCCCAAATGGCGACTTCCTTTGGCCAACTTGAGCCTTAGTACTCAATACGAATTGGACAAGTTGTCGCACTTTTTAATAGATTGAGGGCCCGTGAAAGATGACTCAAGTAATTCACGACTCATACAGTCGTCAATCGCGAGAAATTTGAAATTTGAATGTGTGAAATTTGAAATTTGAAATTTGAATGTGTGACCGGGCCTCATCAAATGGGCCGCAAGTTGGAAATTGGCGTCATTTGTCTGCACTGTTGCCGCGTATTCGGTAATGCGCGTCTTGAGAATTCTGTCAGTTTCTCCGAAGTTGTTTCTTTGTCCGCAACTGCACCAGCTCCTATAGACGACTCCGTATGTTTATTTCTGTGGCACTGGGTCTTTCGATTTCATTATCTGATGCCTTGTGGCTCAATTTGGCCAAAACAAGTCACCACTTGGGGAACGCACAGGCCACCACGATGCCAACATCGGTGGATCAGACGACCTAGCAAGCCGCCACGTGTGATGAAATTTCAGCAGGTCATGGCCAGCGTGCCGACCAACAAGCCATTAGTGCACCAGGGGGCAATCATTCTTGATGAGGAGGGGGGAAGAGTCGGCAATTGTCATGAGTGTGCAGTAGTGACTGTATTCTATAAATACCTTGATGTCAGAAAAGCGACAAACCCGATGCAAGTGCTGAATTATAAAAGCAACCACCCAATCAGCCAGAAACACAGTTGCGTTAGCACGCTCTATCGGCTTGTTGAGACGCACTGCAGCGAACCAGAAGATACAGTTGCCGAAGTACAATACCTTCGATGGGTGTTCTGAGAAAATAGCTACCCACGCAACTTCGTCACCCAGTGCTTGCGCAAACGAGATAGCAAACAAAGTCGCACGGATCCCAAAATTTGGCGAGCGATCCCGTACGTCAAAAGCGTCTCGGAGGCTGTCGGCCGCCTTCTCGCATCATTTGGAGTTGGTGTCGCACACAGGCCGAAAGCAACCACAAGGCGTCAGATCATGAAACCAAAAGACCCACTGCCACGGCAAGAAACATCT